TGTAATCCCAACACTTTGGGAGGCCAAGGCAGGTGGAGTGCTTGAGCCCACCAGCCTGGGAAACATGGCAAGACATTGTCTATATAAAAAATACAAAAATTAAATGGGCATGGTGGCGGATGTCTGTGGTCTGATCTACTTGGGAAGCTGAGGTGGGAGGATGGCTCAAGGCTGCAGTGAGCCAAGATCATACCACTGTACTCCAGCCTGGGCAACAACAACAACAAAAAATCCCAGCACTTTGGGAGGCTGAGGCAGGCGGATTACCTGAGGTCAGGAGTTCAAGACCAGCCTGACAAACATGGAGAAACCCCGTCTCTACTAAAAATACAAAATTAGCTGGGCATGGTGGTACATGCCTGTAATCCCAGCTACTCAGGAGGCTGAGGCAGGAGAATCACTTGAACCCAGGAGGTAGAGGTTGTGGTGAGCTGAGATGGCGCCATTGCACTCCAGCTGGGAACAAGAGTGAAACTCCATCTCAAAAAAAAAAAAAGAAAAGAAAATCTTCCTTAGTAGATCTTCAGTGTCTGGGAAGAAGGTAGAACAGGGATCATCAAGTCCATTTTGCAGATGAGGAAACTAAGGCTCAGAGAGGTCCAGTGGCTCACCTATTCCCCAGCTCCCAAGCCTGATGCACTTCCCACTCTGCTACACACTGTCCTCCTGATTTAAGGCTTCGTCAAGCTAGCCCAACCATCCCTTTGAAGCAATTATCCCATGCCAGTTCATGGAACCCAAGGCCGGTGGAGGCAGCTACCAAGGGCAAACTTTGGAGCTAGCACAGAAAGGACACAGAAGAAGAGCGAACACCTCTTCTCTAGTACAGGCCTAGTGGTTTCCAGGCTTCCTCCCATTTTCCTGGCAGGGTCCCTGGCCTGGGCATGAAGGGAAGTCAGGCCAATATCCCTGGCTGGGTGAGAGGGTCCTGCAGCTTGCAGAACTTAGAAGGGGAGCTGAGCCTTGCTTAGTGGGCATCTACTTGACTCTGGCTCTTTTTATTTATGTATTTATTTATTATTTTTTGTAAAGAACAAGTTTTCCCTTTGTCGACTAGGCTGATCTTGAACCTCTGGGCTCAAGTGATCTTCATGCCTCGGCCTCCCAAAGTGCTGGGATTACAGGCAGGAGCCACAGTGCCCAGCTGACTCCAGCTCTTCAGATGCAGAACCTCAGCCGGATTCAGGAGACCTGGGCTCTGAAATGAGCACCTGCAGATGGGCACTGGCTCAGGCAGACAGAAATGGCTTGGCCTAAAGGAGATGATGGACAGAAGGTGCTGGTGAGGAGGTTTTGAGGAAAACAGCCAGGGAGAGAAGCTACTTCACAGGGAGGGGCCCCCTGCCAGGACCCAGGGATGGGGCCACAGGGCCAGCATGGCTGGTGGCAGTCTCCCAAAGCCTGCTGAGCGGGCAGAGAGGAAAGCTGACCTGCAGCCCCAGCACAGCAGGCAGCACGTGCTTCCTCATCCACTGCCTTTTGTCCTCCCAAGAACCGGGGAAGGGAAACATCGTGCTTGTCACAGGCCAAGAAACTGCCAGAGGCAACCACAGGCTGTCGGTGTCAACCTTGAGTGGCCGGGGCTCCAGCCCAGACAAGCAAGCGGGTGACAGCAGGGTCTCTTGGCTGGCTGAGAGGTTTGCTGCCCATTCCTGGAGGGAAGACACATCAAAGGCTGGGAGGGCAGATGCTACTTACAGTTTTACAACTTCCACAAGCACAGGCTTGTCTGTCCTGGCCTCAGGAGCTGTGAGAGGAAACCCCCAGGAAGGAGGAACTTTGGGATATCACAGCCATAAAAGAGGCCCCCATTCAGATACCAACCAGTTGAGTCACAGAAAGAAACTTCTGGGGCCTCTTCTGTAAATTGTGGGGATTAGGCTGGATGGTTTCTATACTTTTTTTTTTTTTTTTTTTTTTTTTGAGACGGAGTTCCGCTCTTGTTACCCAGGCTGGAGTGCAACGGCGCGATCTCGGCTCACCGCAACCTCCGCCTCCTGGGTTCAGGCAATTCTCCTGCCTCAGCCTCCTGAGTAGCTGGGATTACAGGCACGCGCCACCATGCCCAGCTAATTTTTTGTATTTTTAGTAGAGACGGGGTTTCACCATGTTGACCAGGATGGTCTCGATCTCTCGACCTCGTGATCCACCCGCCTCGGCCTCCCAAAGTGCTGGGATTACAGGCTTGAGCCACCGCGCCCGGCCTGGTTTCTATACTTTTAACAACTCTAAATGCCCTGAGAATGACTGGAGGAGTCCCCAGCCACACCCTCCAGTGGTGGTTAAGAGCAGGTATGCTAGAGCCAGACCACGCTGGTTTAACTGCCACTTAGAAGCCGAGTTGAACTTGGGCAAGGAATTTAATCATTCCCTACCTAAGTTTCTTTATACAGGAATATCAGCCCCTATCTGCTGCCTGATAGGGCAGTTATGATATTTCCCTGAGTTCACACATGAAAGGGCAGAGCAAGGCCTGGGGCATGCCAGGTGCTCTTTGTGCATGAGCTGAGCTGGTTCTGCTGATTGTCAGCACATGCTTGTCTGTCTGTGCCTGCAGGGCTGGAGCGCAGTGGTGCGATCTCGGCTCACTGCCTCCAGGGTTCAAGCCAATTCTCCTGTCTCAGTTTCCTGAGTAGCTGGGACTACAGGCACACCCTACCATGCCCAGCTAATTTTTGCATTTTTAGTAGAGATAGGGTTTCACCATACTGGTCAGGCTGGTCTCAAACTCCTGACCTCAAGTGATCCATCCCCTCAGCCTCCCAAAGTGTTGGGATTACAGATGAAAGCCACCACACCTGGCTAGAAATGTGATTTCAAATCCATACTTCACATCAGGGTGTACGCAGCTGCTCCCACATGTCCTTTCTCCCTAAGAGTATCCTTCTCAAGATTTGACCTTAGAATACTGTTTAGGGTCCAGTTTGGGGTACCGTCTGGGGCTGGAGGATCCTGAGAGGCCCCACACTGGCTGTCAGGCAGGGGACAGGACTGAAAGTTGGGTCTGTCACCTGGGAGCCTCTTTCCTGACTCTCGGGCTGCCTGTAAGGGCGACGCCTTCTGGGATTGAGGACCTCTAAACTTCCTACCTGACTTTCGGAGCTTTTTAAGGAAGGAGGTGAGTCAGCACAGTTTACCCCAGCAGTAACTGGCAATCTGGATTCTCCTTGGGGACAGCAGCCCTGGAAGACTTACAGCCACTCCGTAAGCACTTGACTGAGGCCTTGGCTGGCAGGACAGAACGAAAGACTTGCTTTGCTGCGTTCAAATCCTGAGATGGGATCCCTCAGGCTGGAGCCTCTGAACAGCTAAGGACTCAGTATGAGGCGTGACCCCCTCCCCCCCAACCTGATCCCCCCAGGAGGATGCAGGGCCTGGGAAGCCAGCAGTTCTCCACAAGGCACATCTGGCCAGAGGTGAACCAGAGGATCAGGTGGGTCCCACCCAGGGCTCCATTGACCTTGCCCACCATTTGGGAAAGGGAGAACACTGTGACTGCCAGGTGTATACACATCTGTCTCCACCTGAGATTCCAAGCATCTCAAAGCCAGGGACCGCCTCTTGGTCCCCTTCCCTCACACACTGTATGTACCATATACATGCCTGGGGAGGTCCTTTTTGTACCACTGACGGAATATGCTAGGTATAAATGCCTCAAAAATGATTAAGAAATGGCTGTTTCTCCTTAAAAGGCTCATAGTTTCTCAAAGTATGAAGCCAGATAGAAAACGCAGGGGACCTGCAACACCACCTTCAGAGTGGAAAAGCTCCTGATGAGAGCTCTTCCACACCACACCAACCCCACCTTGCTCTGGAGCCTGACAGGGCCCAGGTGGACATGAGGTCTGACTTGGAGAGGGTCACTGTCCACTGTTCTCCATGTAACTTGCTATCATTTCAGACAAAGGCCACTGGGCACTACAGCCCTTATGGTGAAAAGAAGGGCAAGAAGGCACTGCCCTGAGATGGAGACAGAGAGAGGCAAAGAGCTGCCATCCTGCCCACAACAGAGACTAGGCCCTGTCCCTCAGCCTCATGACTGGCCTGGGTCCTCAGTCCCTCATCTCCTGGGAACTATCCCCCCATCTCACCCCCTGTATCAGAACCGGACTGCCCACTTGCCCTCTCTGTCTGAGCTAATGGCACCTCTCTTCTCCCAGGCGGAAACCCTGGAGTGATCCTTGTTCCTCGCTCATGTGGGTCAGGCCTGTGACCATTTGGCACCCGGACTCTCCCTTCCTTTCCCTTCTCACTGCCACCTCCTAGCTCTGCTCATCTGCTATGCAGCAGCCTTGGTGTGGTCTCCCCTGCACCAAATTACTCTTCATGTGGACCATTGAGTGAATCACCTCACTTTCAACATGTCATTCTCCAGCTCAAAAGCACTTCTCTGATTATGGGAGAAAATCTAGCCTGGGCATTTGGTGCTGGTTACAGTCGATTTTGAGCTGGCCTTTCCATAGACTTTCCTTGCCTTAAAGTCTCAGCCACATTCCGAAATCCCACCTTCAAGGTGGGATAAGCTTCAAGGCACAGCTCTAACCCCTCGTCCTTGCGGGGTTCGTGGGGCATCTCCCTGTCTGCAGCCTGAGCCCTCCACGCTCACTGGGTCACTCGGCCTGCACGGCCACTACTGCAGCTCGTGGGCACAAGCCCTGGGGCCTCTCCCAGGTCGTGGAGGGAGGTGCTCAGGTTCGGACGCCAGCACTGAAAGGGCCGTGGAAAGAAAGCGGTCCAACCCTCCTGTTTAAAGATGAGGAAACAGGCGCTGAGACTGAAAGTGACAGCAAATCAAAGCCGGGCCTCGGATCCCCCAGCCCCGAGCGCAGCCCGGCTCTGCACTTCCCCGGACCTCGCATCCCTTGCGTGGTCATAAAGCGCGAGAACCGACCGGAGCAAGTGGGCAAGCAGAAGCCAGAAAGGCAGGGCCGAGATGCAGGAAGGCGGAGAACGAGGTGGGGTCGCCAAGGGCTCGCAGGCCCGGCAGGGCCCAGACTCACTTTGCCGAGAGCGTGTTGATGGAGCCGGTAACGAGCATGAGCCCGGCCAGGAACAGCTGGTACTTGGTCCAGGCCATGGCGGCGGACGCTGGGGCTCGGTCCAGTCAGCGGTGCTGGGCCCCGACACCCGGGGGTCGCCGGCACGAGCGCTTCCGGGCCGGGCGTCACGTGACCCCCGCTCGTCCCGCCCTGTCCCGCCCCGCCCGTTCGCCCCGCCCCCGGGGAGCGCGAGGCAGCCGTGGTGCCAGCGCTCTGTAGAGCGGCCCGAGCGCTTTGGTGGCCACACCGCGGCCCTAGCGAGTAATAGCCCAGGTCTTCCTATTTTTTTTTTTCTTCTCTTCCCTGTCCTTTCCTGCGTTTATTTTTTTGGTGGGGGGACGGAGTCTCGCTGTTGCCCAGGCTGCAGTGCAATGGCACGATCTCGGCTCACTACAATCTCCGCCTCCCAGGTTCCAGCGATTCTCTTGCCTCAGCCTCCCGAGTAGCTCGGATTACCGGCGCCCACCACCACGCTCAGCTAATTTTTTGTATTTTTAGTAGAGACAGGGTTTCACCATATTGGCCATGTTGGTCTCCAACTCCCGACCTCAGGTGATCCGCCCGCCTCGGCCTCCAAAAGTGTTGGGATTACAGGCGTAAGCCATTGTTCCCGGCCTTGATTTCTTATTTTTATCTTTGGGACTTCCTGTTTGTAAAAGGGGCCGATGAGAAGGTGCAATCAGGGCTCATCATGGATGTTACAGCATTTTGTAAATCATTTCGAGAGATTGAGCTGGGCTGTGTCAGAGAGAAGCCCTGAAGTGGGCTTGCCAGGAGTTCCCTGGGGACCCTGTAGAGAGGAGATTCCCACGCTGGACGTTTCCACTTCGGGGCTCCTCTCTGACACTGCCCACCTTGGGTACAGTTCATATCTTTCAGCAAAGTGGCGAAGGATACCATTTTATAGCTGAGGACAGTAAATCCAGAGAAGCCAGCCGGGTGCGGTGGCTCACGCCTGTAATCCAAGCACTTTGGAGGCCAAGGCGGGCTGATCACCTGAGGTCGGGAGTTCAAGACCAGCCTGACCAACACGGTGAAACCCTGTCTTAAAAAAAAAAAAAAAAAAAAAAAAAAAATCCAGAGAAGCCGAGTGATTTGCTTAAGAACCTGCTGGTGAACAGTAGGGTAGGGATTTGCAAAGGAGTTCTCTAGTCTCCCAGAATCTGTCTCTTCTGCATGGCCACTGCACCAAGCCCTGCTCACTGCTCCTTTGTGGACTCTGGTCACAGCTCAGAGGCATCCAGGCAGAAAGACCATCCCTAGGTTTGTTTGAAGAGGGTGTTGATGAAGAGTCAAACTCTAAAGTATTTGGAGTGATTTATTCTGAGCCAAATATGAGTGATCATGGCCTGTAACACAGCCCTCAGGAGGTCCTGAGAACATGTGCCCAAGGTGGTGGGGGCACAGCTTGCTTGGTTTTGTATGTTTTAGAGGCACAAGACATCAATCAAATACATTTAAGAAATACATTTGTGGCTGGGCGTAGTGGCTCATGCCTGTAATCCAAGCACTTTGGAGGCCAAGGCGGGTGGATCACCTGAGGTCGAGAGTTCAAGACCAGCCTGACCAACATGGTGAAACCCCGTCTTAAAAAAAAAAAAAAAGAAAGAAAGAAAGAAAGAAATTTGTTTCCTTTAGAAAGGTGGGACAACTCAAAGCCGGAAGGAGGGAAGGGGGTAGGGGAGAAAGGGGAAAAGATCTATCTATGCTAATAGAGATTTTTTGTTTTTTTGAGACGGAGTTTTGCTCTTGTCACCTAGGTTGGAGTGCAATGGGGCAAACTCAGTTCACTGCAACCTCCACCTCCCAGGTTCAAGCAATTCTCCTGCCTTAGCCTCTGGAATAGCTGGGATTATAGCGCCTGCCACCACACCCAGCAATTTTTTGTTGTTGTTGTATATTTCGTAGAAACAGGTTTCACTGTGTTGGCCAGGCTGGTCTTGAACTCCTGACCTCAGGTGATCCACCCATCTCAGCCTCCCAAAGTGCTGGGATTACAGACAATAGAGATTCTTAACAGATGCAAAATTTCCCCAACAAAGGACAGATTTGAAGGGCCATTTCAAGATATGGCAAAGAAACATGTTTTGGGGTAAAACTTCCTACTTTGTCACGTAATATTATGCCAGAGTCAGATTGGAAAGTAAGTCATGATATATAGGGTTGAATAAAACCTATCTGATGAGAATTTATGGTTTGTTGGGCATGACTCTCTAGACCTCTTAGATGAGGGATTTGGGCGAGATAAAACAAATCAAAGCTTAATCTTCAGGGATTTCTGGCTTTTAAATTCCTACTCTCGGCCGGTTGTGGGGGTTCACACCTGTAATCCTAGCACTTTGGGAGGCCAAAGTGGGCAGATGGCTTGAGCTCAGGATTTCCAAACAAGCCTGGACAACATGGCAAAACTTCTACTAAAATTGCAAAAATTAGCCAAGTGTCACAACAAGTACCTGTAGTCCTAGCTACTCAGGAGGCTAAGCAGGAGGATCACTTGAGCCCTGGAGGCAAAGGTTGCAATGAACTGAGATCGTGCCACTGCACTCCAGCCTGGATGACAAAGTGAGACCCTGTCTTAAAGAAAAAAAAAAAAAAAACAAAACAAAAACTGCTCCTATATACCTTCCCCAGTGCTCTCGTCTGCACCCATGCCCTGTCATGCCAGAGGCGAGACCCTTTTGTTCCCAGAGAGGGGTCCTGATCCAGACCCCAAGTGAGGGTTCTTGGACCTGGCATGAGAAAGAAGTTGGGGGAAATCCATAAAGTAAAAGGAAGTTTGTTAAGAAAGTAAAGGATAGGCCGGGCTCAGTGGCTCACGCCTATAATCCCAGCACTTTGGGGGGCTGAGGCAGATGGATCACGAGGCCAGGAGTTCCAGACCAGCCTGGCCAAGATGGTGAAACCCCAGCTCTACTAAAAAATACAAAAAAGTAGCCAGGCATGCTGGCACGCGCCTGTAATCCGTTACTCGGGTGGCTGAGGTGAAGAATTGCTTAAACTTGGGAGGCGGAGGTTACAGTGAGTCAAGATTGCGCCATTGCACTCCAGCCTGGGCGACAGAGAGAGACTCCATCTCAAAGAGGAAAAGAAAAAAAAAGAAAGTAAAGGATAAAGAATAGCTACTCCATTGGCAGAGCAGCCCTGAGGGCAGCTGGTTGGCTATTTTTATGGATATTTCTTGATTATTTGCCAAAGAAGGGGTGGATTATTCATGAGTTTTCTGGGAAGGGGGTTCTTCCCCATTTTAGACCATATAGGTTAGCTTCCAGATGTTGCCATGGGATCTGTAAACTGCTGCGGCGCTGGTGGGAGTGTCTTTTAGCATGCTAATGCATTATAAATAGCGTATAATGAGCAGTGAGAAAAACCAGCACTGGGCACTTTGGGAAGCTGAGGCAAGCGGATCATCTGAGGTCGGGAATTCAAGACCAGCCTGACCAACATGGAGAAACCCCATCTCTACTAAAAATACAAAAATTAGCCAGGTGTGGTGGTGTATGCCTGTAATCCCAGCTACTCAAGAGGCTGAGGCAGGAGAATCGCTGAAAACCCGGGAGGCTGAGGTAGTGGTGAGCCGAGATCGAGCCATTGCACTCCACCCTGGGCAACAAGAGTGAAACTCTGTCTCCAAAAAAAAAAAAAAAAAAAAAATGTTTAGTGAGACTTAGAATGAATAAAATAAAGCCCAAGGGGCAACAAGAGTGAAACTCTGTCTCCAAAAAAAAAAAAAAATGTTTAGTGAGACTTAGAATGAATAAAATAAAGCCCAAGGGGCAGATTGGGGCAGCCCACAGTGGCAGATACCCATCCGTATCAGAGGGCATTCCTATAGGCCACAGTGACTCAGTTGGTGAGGCTCTGGACCATTTCCCCATGTGTCCAGGCCAAGGGAACATCCTGAGGTAAACATAACTAACGATCATTAAGACCAGACCGACATGATGTCACTAGCAGCACAGTCTCTGTCTGTGTCTACAGCCACATTATATGATGAATTTTGATTTATCACAGTGTTCTGACCATTTGTCAAACTGCTGTCTGTGGATCCAGGAGACAGAATTTATTGGCAAATACACATGGAGCCCACTAAGTGTAAGGCCTAGAGCCAGATATGGGGTCCTAAGGAAGATGGAAGCAAGACAAGGTCACTGTCCTCAAGGAATTTGAGATTCAGTGGAGGAGAGGGGTCAGCCCTGCATTAACCATACAGCAAGGTGAGAATGTATAAGAGGCAGAGGGGGGGTTGAGGGAGGGATGGATTACCTAAGGGAGTGGGCAAGGAGGGGACAACAGTGACAATCGGAGCTGTCCTGGACCAGGTGCCCCATCTGTGTCAGGCCTGTGCCTGGAGCTTGACCTCTCTGGCCTCGGTCTTCATAATAGCTCTGTGGAACTGGCATTCAGAGGGAACCTGAGTAGGGACTTGAAGGAGGAGGAGCAGGATTTCTCCAGGTGGGGAAGGCAGGGTCATCCCAGCCAGAGGCAACCACGTGGACACCACGGGGCGGCTGATGAGCCCTTACACTGGGGTGTGACCCACAGTGAGGCTCCAGGTCTCTGCCACCTGGCTAGAATGGGCTTTAGGGGAGAAAACTAGAATAGACATTAGAGCCCTCAGTTAGTAGTGAGCCCAGGCTAAGGTATCATGGCCTCAAGGGACAGGAATTCTGAGAAAAATAGAGAGGAATGGTCAGAGGCATTTGAACCAGAGTGACTCTATCCTGAATAGGGGCTGGGTAAAATAAGACTGAGACCTACTGGGCTGCATTCCCAGGAGGTTAAGCACTCTTAGTTACAGGATGAGACAGGAGGCTGGCATGAGATACAGGTCACAAAGACCTTGCTAGACCTTGCTGATAAAACAGGATGCAGTCAAGAAGCCGGCCAAAACCCACAAAAACCAAGATGGCAGCAAAAATGACCTATGGTCAAAAAGGGGGAGGAACCCTCAGTTCCAGGAAATCCCTACCCCTTTCCTGGAAAATTTATGAATAATCCACCCCTTGTTTAGCATATAATTAAGAAATAACTACAAGTATACTCAGCTGAGCAGCCATGTCACTGCTGTGCCTATGGAGTAGCCATTCTTTTATTCTTTTACTTTCTTAATAAACTGGCGTTCACTTTACTCTGG